TCTGCATATCAATCTGTTCTGGCTGTCTGCTCTGATGCAGGAACGCATGGCGAATATTGTGTTGACTGCTTCAGTGGGTTTACGCCCAAGACTGGCTTGTTTCTAATGCAGCTGGGAAGATTGACTCATGAGTGTGACAACGAGCGTTTCGACGAGAACGGAGTCTTTCTTCCTGACTGGGAACCATCACCAGGTGTTGTCTTTGAAGCCGAATCCTTGATAGCGGATCTTGGCGCTTTGGAAACCTACGCCTACGCTGATGCAGCGCACTTCGGTCCGAGCAAGACCGATTTTCTAGCCACTGACCGGGCCTTTCGCTATGCAGGGCTACTGCACCTCCATCGTCGGGTGCTAAATGCGTCGCCCTTTTCTGAGGCGGTTACGGGGGCCGAAAAAGAGCTTTTCAAGGCAATAGGCGACATCCGGCAGAGTGCGTCTGCAGAGGTCGGAGTTCTGTTCCCGTTGTTTACTGCGGGCTCTGAAGCTCGAGATGCCGCGCAACGAGCAGAAATCCAGGAGCGTTTCGATTTCCTCGAGAAAACAGGAATGAAACAGGTGAGTCGATAGCTATTCGCGCAGTAAACATGTCTGACTTTGTCTCTAGATGCAAAGCGCTCGTACGCTGATGCAGCGATGCTGGTCCGAAGACTTACCGTGGATCGCATTGGCTCAGGGCGAATTTCTAGGGTAGCCAGGCAGGTAGAGTTATTCTGTACATCATTCTTGCTCGTGAGCCATTGCTACTGGGTGAAGTGCATGTATTGTACCTGTACCTGCAGGGTGCGTCACGCTGACTGCGTTTATCTTATATATGAAGCGAACGCAGACAGCAGGCCTGACTTGACTGAACATACTATGTACATAATCAGAGGCCGTTAAGGGATGGTCTTTGTAGAAGCCGTTGGTCTTTCAACCGCCCATAATAAGTGTCGTAGTACCACCACCACCCGAGGCACGTTGTATACTCAGAAAAAGTGATTGTTTGTCTTTTTGCTCGAATGGCCACACAAGGATTTCAGATTTCTCTCTAGTAGATGATTCTACCTTTCCTTGAAGCGAGACCAATTTCACCTCACTCTAACCTCCGCATACTATATCTTAGTAGCGATCGCTAGGAATCCTACTACTATATAGAGGCCAAAATTTCTTTTATCCCTTCTAATCTTCATAATCCCCTCTTCCACAGATCTCGGTAGCGATTTGCGAAATATCCTCTATAAAGGCCATAAATATTCTGACCTCTTCCAATCAACACAACCTCCTTGGTCTCGCATCAATAACCTTGACATCTAACAAAGGGAGAGATTGCCTGGTGACGAAGCACGCCACTAAGCTGTGACGTGAAGAACTTCACCAAACGCCCACTAGGTACCAGCGCCACTTCCCAAAATGGAAGGGTGCCCCTCCCAGCCATACCAGGATGGTCCTCAGAGTGACTCGGGGACCATTCTAGTCCTAATACTTATAACCATAGTGTTTCTTTGCTTTGTGGTCTATCGTATAGAATCTTATGTATTCCTGATGCTTCAGACGTGCGAGAGGAAAGACATGGCTCACAAGAAGGACAAGAATAGTCTGCAGCTGGAGCGGACCGCGCTGGCTCCAGTGAATCCTTGTGCTCAGAATACTGCTCCGCTCTCCAGTCTCCTGGACAGCGGACTGGATGACATCAAAGTTCCCAGCCTGCAGCCATTGTCACCTATAAAAACGCCTTCTGTTGTCCGGATCACAATTCAAAAGGAGCCTACACAGAGAGCAACGAGCCTGCTCATAGACCAGCACGTCGACAATCTGTCTATTCCCGTGCTGGAACCCCAGAGAGTGAGTCCTCGTTCGAATTCAACTACCACTATAACCCAAGTTCGACCTCCAAGGTTAACCCGTCCGGTGTGCGCCAAGAAACAGCCGTTCGTCACCATGAAACCACCAGTGCTCGTGCCGTGGGATGGTACAATCAAATGGGCTATCCGAGGATCCAGTGTTTTTGAGACTACGGATGAAGAACTCGAAGCGTTGCTATACCGCCCGAATATTGTCAGCAAGGAATCTCCAACTGAGCTATGGATGTTCCAGTTTGGCTTGCGCTATATCCCCGCTGAAGGTGACAGAGATGTATACCGCGCCGTCACTATTGAGAAACTACCATCAGATGTGACCCTGCAGCAACTCTTACCTCTAATTACCGGCGAAATCTGTTCAGCGCACTTCCTCGATACTGTATCTACCACGGGGTCAAACACCGCTTTCATCGTCTTCGTTACCCAGGCAGATACTGTTGACTTTCTCAAGCATTCCGGCGGTAGTCTCGCCCTAGGGGCGACACAGGCTAAAGTGACCCTAGTCCCGACTCCAACTTATCCTATGGCGGCTAGTATGGCACGGCTGGTTTTCGAAGAGGGTCATACGCGGTGTGTCTGTATATCTGGTGTGCGGGATACTTTGAAGGGAGAGATGCGTCGGGTCTTGGGCCGGTCGCCGTTCTTGGATCATCTCGAACGGATCGAGGATGGACAGATGCTCGGGGATGTTTATGCTCGGTTTCACTCAGTCAAGGTGGCCACTGCCGCCTATAAGCTTTTGAAGAGTCATCCGAGCTTCCAGAAGTGTAAACTCCGGTTTCTGGCAGCAAGACCTATGGCGCGACAACCCCGAATCGGAATTTGGGATTGAAGAGCGGTCTCGTCTTTCCGCACGTCTGTACAGTAGCTAGCCTTTATATCGTTCCATTGCTGGCGTTAATGGAGATCTTTTAGTAACTTAGTAACCGGGACTTGGTAAGCAAGTAAGCAATGCCTAGAACTTCCCCGCATGGGGGCGGGTCTCCAGCATTCCTAGCCGAGCTCTCCCCGGCTTTGACCCATCCACAGTAACCATCGCATCATCCATGGCCATTGATCCGCGGGTACACTACTTAAGACAACACAGCTTCTCCGATGTCATTACTCGAGCTGAATTCGGAAGGGAACTTGATCGCCGTGCTAGCGCATTCTGTGGTAACACACACATAGCCGACTCAGACACGGCAATCCTTGCTTCATCCTGTGCAGACTTCCAACGCGGGGAATATCCCTTCGTTTGGGCCCGACTAACTTTTGGGTGTCCTCCTCCAGTTTATCTCGGGCCAATCGTCCTCACGCACACCCTTGGCGATCATCATGATTGGTTTCTCATTGGCTCCATTTGCGCTGATCGGTCTGTTTATCCTCGCTTCTTGACCCTAGATCCTTCGCGAAGAGCATCGTCATTCAGCTGCAGCTACGAGCACGATGGGATTACCAATTGCCGGAAGCCCACCCTTTAAAACGCTACTGGTGCCTCCCCTCCTCCCTTCACTGCTCCTCTCTAGTGATTTCTTTTCGCTCCTCAACCTCCATTTCTCCCAGTGCCACACGACATCACAATGGCGCAGGTCGATGAAAAACCAGCGATACACAATTCCTCCCGTGGTATGGTGGATACCGAAAAGGCCACTACGGTTCACGGTTCACCAGAGGAGTCGCACCTGGATTTCCTTGATGACCCAGATGAAGGCTTGAGTGAGGAGGAAAGGGCGAAGATCGTGAGTAACCCGCCCTGGTCAACACCAACAGGGATATCGAGCTGGACTAATGCAATTGCCAGGATCGTGCATTACTGTGGAAACTTGATTTGCGGCTCATCCCGTGGTTGAGTTTGCTGTACCTGATTTCTTTCTTGGATAGGTATGCACAATTGCTCCAATCACCGTTTTGGAAATTAATGTGGCTTTAATAGAACGAATGTCGGCAATGCCAAGCTTGCTGGTCTCCAAGGGGATTTGCATATGACTAATTCGCAGTACAACGACTCTTTGACCATTTTCTTCGTGTCATACGCAATCTTCGAACCTATCACCAATGTTCTCCTCAAGCGCTGGCGACCTAGCGTGTTCATTCCGATTATAATGGTAGTATGGGTATGGACAACGAGGTCTAACGCGGGTTGATCTGCGCTGATTGTAGGACAGGGTATATGCATGACTTGTATGGGACTCGTACACAACTTCTCTGGGATTATGGCGGTGAGTGTCTGCATACATACACGATTTTCGAAAAATGGAATTCGCGCGGCGCAATTATTGTCCCTGCTGACGGTAGTAGGTGCGATGGTTCCTTGGCCTGGCGGAAGCCGGTCTCTTTCCTGGCGTTGGATACTTCTTGTCGTGCTGGTACAAACGATCCGAATTCGGCGTGCGCATGGCCATTTTCTTCTCCGCCGCTGCCCTCGCGGGGTCATTTGGAGGATTGCTCGCGGCTGCGATCGCCCTGATGGATGGCATCGGAGGCAAGGCGGGCTGGTCTTGGATCTTCATTCTTGAGGGTCTGCTGACAATCGTCATCGGCGTGCTGTCCGTATGGATGGTCTACGACTTTCCGGACCAGGCCAAATTCTTGTCCGAGGCGGATCGTAAGCGTGTACTGCGTCGTCTGGCGGCTGACAAGCAAGCCAGTGCCGGGTACGAGAAGTTTGAGATGACATATTTCTGGAGCAGTCTGAAGGACTGGAAGACGTATCTCAATGCGATCATTTACATGGGTTCATGCATGCCGCTATATGCATTCTCCCTATTTACCCCGACTATTATCAATGAGCTAGTATGTTCTCTCCAAGTCGAGTATAGTAAGCAGTACTAACAGTAATAGGGTTTGTTTGGTATTCCTCTGATTTGGTAGGGATCTAACCGGCGCAGGCTATACCGCGATTCAGGCGCAGCTGCTCAGTGTCCCGCCTTATGCCGCGGCAGCTATCGTCACCGTGGCGATCGGTTTTATCGCAGATCGGACCGGTCAACGTGGCATCTGCAACATTGCGGTGTCACTCCTCGGTATCGCTGGGTTCTCCTTGCTTCTTGGGGCCAGTTCCGCAGGTGCGCGATATGCAGGGGTATTCCTGGGCGCCATGGGCATCTACCCCGCGATCTCGAACACGATTTCCTGGGCCAGTAACAACGCAGAGGGTATGCATCTCAATAATAGTGGAGAACCATGGCTAACGGTGACAGGTGTGTACAAGCGCGGTGTCACGCTAGGTATTGTCATTGGCTGGGGCAACCTGAACGGCGTGGTGTCATCCAACATCTACCGCGGCGGAGACGCGCCTCAGTTCTATCCGGGTCACGGGGCGGTGCTGGCATATTTGGTGCTGTTTCTGTTTGGTGGATCAGTCTTACAGTATGTTCTCCTCCGCCGGGAGAACGCGAAACGTCGTCGGGGCGACCGAGACCACTGGATAGCAGGACTGGAGAGACAGGAGATCGAGAAGCTTGGAGACAAGCGGCCAGACTTTATATACACGCTGTAGCTGTACCAGATCCAGCAGAAACCCAAACATCATCTTCCCCACCTCCCCAATCCACAATCTATAATCTATAATTTAAACCCCCTCCCTCACCGTATAATAATTCACAATATCCTGATCCTTCTTCGGCCCCTTAACCACATGTCTACTCGCCCAACTAACCACCTCCCCAATCCCATCCCCACCATCCCCACCATCACCATCATCCTCTTTCTTCACCACCCGAAACGCATACGCCGTCCGATACATATCATTAATACAAAGATGATTCCCCCTCGCCGTAACCACCACCGTCTGTTTCCCCCCTCCTTCTCCTCCAGGTATAGATGGCGGCACCGGCGCACTCACAAACTCCTCCCCATCCTCATCCCCACCACTCCCAGATTCATCATTATCAAGAAACTCCATCCCATGAAACAAATAATCCGCGACCCCCTCATCACCCACTTTCACAAACCAGACGGATAGATCATCCTTAACTGTGGATGTAGATGGTTTCAACCTCCAGATATAACTCTTCTTCCATTGGAGATTATGTCCGATGTGTGGCGGCAGAGTGCCCGTCTCGGTGTAGAGGAGTTGGCGCTGCGGTGCGGGGGGATCTTGTGTTGTGGTGGTGTCAGGAAGAGAGGTGAAGGATGCGGTGCCGTGGAGGTTGCCGTTAATGTCGTGCGGATTTGCGCTTTTGAGGACCCGGAGGAGGGTCCAGTTCTTGGTGGGGAGGGAGGTGAAGAGGGTTTGGAGGTTGAGGTTGAGAGTTGTCATTGTGGTGCATGGTATGGTTGTGTTGGTGGGTAGGGTGGTTGTGGTGGTGTGGTGAAGAGAGGAGGGAGAGTGACGGTGACGGAGTGACGGAGGGATGGAGGGGAAGAATGAGAGTGGGTGGAGATGCGGGAGGTGGATTGTGACCCACTGAGCTAATAGTAGTCTTGGGTTGATGAATTTAGTATTGATCTATCATCAATGCATCAATGGGGTAAGTTCGATGTTTTTGAAATCTCTCATTGAAAGTTTTCATTGATGATGTATAGTACAATATTTTATTCAAATTAATGTGTCTTGTTAAGTTGAACACCCACTTTTTATCGGCTGATTTGGCACCAAATTAGGTCGTCGGCTCTATCCACAATTCCTGCATACTACAAAGTCGCTAACAGATCTATACAACTCCTGTCTATGTCTATACTACACAAGTCTGAAATGCTATCTTAAAAGCTGCCAAGCACTGTTTCTCATAAGTAAGCTCGTACATTCCACTTTATCAATAATTATCCTTATATTCTCTACATAGCAGACAAAAACTACTCCCTTCCCAGCACGCATTACGAACCCAAGGTATAAATCCTGAATAAAACTGCATATATCGAAGAAGAAAGCTTTTGCTCATTATTTTATCTGCTTAACTTTTATCTACCCATAAAAACCACAACGGGAGCATCTTTTCCTTCAAGCAAGCATACACTCATCCACTGACCAATAACTACTCCAACAGCACCATCTCACATCACCTAGTTAGGTCTCGGCGGATCCTGCGGCTTGTCATCGAGAGGCTTAGGCTGGGGCTTTGGCTGAGGCTTTTGCTGAGGCTTCGGCTGAGGCTTTTGTTGAGGCTTGGGCTGAGGCTTTGGCTGAGGCTTTTGTTGAGGCTTTTGCTGAGGCTTCGGCTGAGGCTTCGGCTTTTGTTGAGGCTTGGGCTCATTCTTAGGAGGCTTCGGTCCATCATCGCGCTTCTGTGGGGGCTGAGGGTTGTTGGGAAGGGGCGCATCCTTAGGAGGTTGAGGGATGGGCTTGGGCTGATCATGGGGCTGGGGATCATTCGCAGGCCCGGGAGCGTCGGGTGTAAGCTCATCCTTAGGAGGCTCTGGCTCGTCACGTTTGTTGTTGTCGTGCGGTTTGGGAAGAGGGGCGTTAGGAGGAGGGTTGGGGTGGTGGTGAGGTTGGATATCAGTAGGGCCTGAGGGTGTAAGCATGAGGGTAACTATGTCAGATTGTTGCAGAACATACGTGGAGCAGGAGGAGCAGCGACAACCAGGCCGGCTACCAGCAAGGTAGAAAGAGCTGTAGAGAACTTCATTTGGGAGGACAATAAGAGCTGAAGAGCCTATTGAAGGATTGAGGTGAGCGGGTTTTGTGATTTAAGGTTTGGTGTTGCTGATGAGTCGATAGCCGGGCTTCAATGTCCCTTTTATATCTTTTGACATGCATATTCGGAGCATCATCGGCCTCAAAAGTCCAGTTTTCAACTACTCAGGTAAGCTTCATCCGGTATTCTCATACGGATACCCTCGTGGTATCTTGGTCTAGACTGAATAAACTTTGCATCTACCAAATTATGGGCTTGGTGTATCGGCCCTGCCGTGTTTCAACCTCGCATCAAGTCTGCAGAATATTGAATAGAATGGTATCAGCATTGAATAAACCAGTCGAGAATTTTCTACTTATTTAAAGTCTTAGCAAATATGTAACGACTAGCAGTTTCATCTCTGCTCAATCTAGCCTCGCTCTTCTCCGGGACTGCCCCAAAATTGGGTCCAGGTACGGTGCCCATGCAATGTTCCTCGGCTTCTCGGGCCGGCAGCGTTCGTCGATCATGAAGCTTAGCGTTTTAGTTGTCGATCAGGCTCTGGTATACTGAGTTTACTATGAGTCGACGTTTTGATAAGCAGGCATTGTGATGCGTCGCTTACCAGGAAGCTAAACATATTTCAGAGCAGTCCCTAAGAAGAACTTTCCACAGTAACATCAGCAATAGTAACTTAGCCTGACTACTGTTTCGAAAACCATATACACCTACTATCTAACTTTTATACATCCCCACCATGTTTCTAAACTGATACCTCCCAGTCTAAGATCCCGACTACCGGATAACCTTATATCCAGTCCCTGGACCCTCAGACCAATCCCCAATTCTACCGGTGCAGGGTTTTCCTCATCTGAAACACTCACATAAAATCATTGCAGGCAGTGAGCTTATCTTTCTATTCTCAATATTATTTATGAATCTAGAACCGAGCAACCGGACATACCTAACGTATTTGGTATATGTCCGTGCCCACATAGTGGCAGTTATACCCGGTCTGGAGCATAGGAAAACTTTAGAAACAGGTACATAAATTCTTATGCTGTATATTATACAGTTAAAGGTAGATTTTATAGCCAGTGTGGATTGGATAGACACATATCAATGTTCTAGTCCATTTAAGTAGATTCCTAATGGATAAGCATGGCCGTAGCAACATGGCAATGGCTTTACTACTTCTGCCCGTGAAGAAGTAACATAAGCTATAATCCTTCACTCCAACACAAGAACAAAATAGAAACAAGCAAAAACATAAATCCATTACTCAAATCTAGTAATGCTCTCCGTGATCGGCACCGCGAACCGGACCGTAAGTTAAATGAAACTTGGCTATACTTAGCGGGACGGATTGCAAAGTTTGATTGAAGAGAGACTACAGAGACGAGCGGGAGAAGATTCTCGTGTGTTGTATGTTGATCATCGCTTAAGTTGCTTGGTCAGTTTCTATAGTTCTCGAGCTAGGTTGTTGGGGTATCGATTACATTTCAGTAGAGTCCTATCTTTATAGTAGCTGGGTACTAATGACTTAACGTTTGTAAGAAAATGGATAGTGCCTTGACCCTCTTATTTAATTTAGGGAGCCCATAACTACTTACCAACGAACAAGCAATATTGCAATTACCAAATATATTCAGCCAATACTAGTAGTTAAGATAACATCTCCAAGTTGCAGAAGAGACCCCCGAAAGCGGTAGTACCACTTTGGCTAAGACTCCTCCAGCTACGTTCCCCTAGTAAATAGTAGGAGCAGTGGCAGAAACCTGCCCGACCGCCCTATTGACCGCTCAAAGCGGCAGAACCTAGCGAACCTCGCTGCGAAAAGCCCGGATTTAAGCGGATTTAAGACATTCCAGTTCCCAGAACACTCACCTGGAATCTGTATGTTTTTTGACCGCTTTTGATTTGGGGTGGCAGAATATGGTCGCCCAGCGAGTTGCTTACATTGAGGTATGAGGGTAGTTAGTGGATAATGATGAGCATTTTGTATTTCTTGTAGTAGGTTGTGTTTTCCTGGGTGATTCAATTATCAGATATGGTATATTGCTGTCTTGTATAGCTTTATGTGTAAGACCTTCTTCATTGTTTACTCAAGTCTTAGTATAAGTATATCATTTAGGGCCCTCTTATCATACTATCATTTACATGCTCCTTTTCTGATGATAATACTATGATAATGATGAGAGTGATACGAATGATAGAGAGCTTTTACACTGTTCACCTTATGTTTGTCTTCTGAAGCCTATCCAATTACTACAGCTTATTGCCCGACCGAGCGCAAATTCCTGTCATTTTGATATCATATGCCAATGTAGATGACAGTATGATCATCAGGTTATGTAACGATCAAGGCTCAATGTAATCAAGTGTAGAGCGTGCGATTGCAAAGCAGCCTAATGTTCCAAACTACTAGACCAAGCTCATTGATCAATGCAACATGTGCGGGGATCATGGCGTGCGCAAGAACCCCGCATGCCACCGCCGACGATCCAGTTCTACCTTTCATTCTTGAATCCTTGAAATCAATCACCGTATCAATCAAGTCGATCATCCAATATAGAGCAAATCATCGAGTCATGTCTTCACAAAAAGTGTACCTCGACCACCTGCTTCTCCAGTTCAGCAAGGAAGAATTCGAGTCACCGTCCAAATGGTTGACTGATCACTTTACCATCATTGAGGGTGGCACTCATGCGGGTAAGATATCAATTGGCCCTTGTTGACTATCGGATAAGATCTTTTGCACATGCTTATACCCGGCAGGTGGTCTGAGTCGCAACAAACTAATCATCTTCCCCGACGGAACTTATCTGGAACTCCTTAACTGGATAAACAAACCTGAAGATTGGAGGGACCGACCGGGCGATTTTGCGCTTACTTCTTTGGCACCCGTCTCGGCCGAAGATAACCATGACCGTATAGTCAAAGCGCTGGATACCATCTCTGATGATAGCCTGGGGGTGACGTACTCGCAGCCGATCGACGGAGGACGTCAGACACCGAGTGGGGTTGATATTCGTTGGAAGCTACTGAAGGCACGTTATTCCGACACGCAATCGCCTACGCCAGATCTCCATCCTCGAGGCCGCACAGATGCACCCTTCTTCTGCCATGATGTCACGGACAGGGTTCTGCGCGTCCCGTATGATCAGTCTTCTGTCGTTGATCACCCGTCAGGCGCAACAGGAATTGCGGGCATCGAGCTGCTCGTGCCTAAAGATAGACTGCAATCCTATGTGGCCCTTTATACGTGCATAGTGGGAGCATCCCCGCGCTTGTCCACTACCGAAGCGGAGTTCGAGCTGAGAGCGCCGGGTTCCTTGAATTTCTCCGGAGTTCTTCGCATTCGGGCTGCAACGTCGGAAAATGATGATCAATATCTGCAGGAGAAAGGGATTGGCATTTCATCTTTGATAATCCGATCGAAAGCTATCGGGGATTTTCGTTTTCCTGTATCAGATTATCTGGATTGAGGTGCTCGTGCTAAGCCGTATGTACCAATGCAATAATGCAACATATACCGTGAGGTATTAGTCGAAGAGATGGAATTATCAACCGATGTATCACTGTACTGCAGTCGCAGATATCAGTCCATCGTAAAGAAATCAAGATGTATGCGCATTGCCTGTTTCTTATAATTTCGTATGAGGTCCTAGTAGGCCATAAGTAGTCCTAGATGCTCTTGCCGACTGTTCCAGAAACAGGCAGATGCCTGATCGAGCAAGGGATCTGTCATCCTGGCTTTTCCGACCGTATAATGATCTTTTTATAGGTCGCAGATCGATCAGGAGGTACATAGCCCTTGCTTATCAATTCCGCATTAGTAGAAATTGTTCTGGTTTGCTAAATGCCCGCGGGGCATCTGCTTGAAGTCAGCTGTGTTGCTCACCGCTGGAGCGGTCACTGAGATGAGCTCGTTCAGCTGCTTCAGCGCATGCTGCGGAGTCGTATCGCTAAAGGTACGTCGTACTTCTACTCCTATCTGCACCGGGTCAGCCACACTGGGACAGGTCCTGGTGGCGTCATGGACACATTCCTCCCTGCCCCTGGAATGACCGATCAGCCCGGGGATGAAAGAGATCGGTTCCATCCGGCATCCAGAGCGATCCGTGGATCCACGGATTTTAAACTCAAATCAGAGGAATGTGTCAAACGATATCAACAATGTAAACTTAGAATTCATGTCATCAGATGTTAGATGGTTGGGTGGTGAGCAAAGCGACGGATAGATCGGGGCGATTTCAGAGATTCATCAGTCATCCAAGGAGGCGACTGAAGTCAATAACTCTGAGACACATCCCCAGGATTACATCCTCGCAATATCCCTGGATGTGAAGGTATCACGGCACCGTTGCATTGTGGGGCTTGGAACCAGGCGCCCCAGATTATTGGGAATAGTGTGCTGCAGAAGATACCCACAGGTCAGTTTGACAGGGCAACAGCCACGGATTCGGGACGACGCATGCGGCGAGGGTTGAGGGGGAACGACTGAAAGGGTCCGCGGAAAGCAGGAAGATGTAACGAGGTACTGTTAGGGAGATGGGGACATGTGGATCCCAGTTGCAGAGTGTTGAGATTTGAGGATGATGAAGATGAAGATCTGAGAAAGTAACAGATTACAGAGTAGAGTCATGAGGGGCCAAGAAAAGATGAAAGAATGAGATGCGATGGGGCCCAAATCAGCGAAAAAAGGCGTTCAGGGTCCAGACTGCGCGGCCATAGATTAAAATAACCGGCAACTAAACTGGAGGAGGAAAAGAGCATCAGCAAGACTTCGTAAAGGACTCCATTCTTACGCAAACCTGGACTTCGGGCGCAAATGAATTTTCGGCGCTACGCAGTGGGCCTAACCAGGGCGAAGCAGGACTAAACAGGACTAAGCAGGACTAACTAACCCCCAAGGCAGTAAGCATCATCCGCCCCGTGTCTCCTCCGGCCGCAACCGGCCAGGCAATCCTTCCTCACTCAATCTTCCTTTCTCCTCTTCCTGCCCTCCTTTCATAATTATTATTCTATCGTTTCCTTATCCTGTTTGGCCCTT